ATGCGAGGTGACTTTTTTCGGCGATTGTGGACAACAAGAGGCGCACAGACAATTGATGAGGTGAATTGTGATTCCCGCTCACACAAGGGGTTTCCAATCTGGGGTTTTGAGTGCCACAATCTCTTGCATTTCTCTGTTATTCCCAAGTATTACCTCAAGTGGATTTCCATTCCTCAAAATTCCCATAATATTCCACAATTCATTCTTCGAATTATTCTTTCCCCGCCAAAACTCATTCGATTCTCCTTCAATTTGCTCTTTTTCGCATCTTTTTTTTCAGTTTTCTTCCAAAACAGAGATTGAAAATTGAATCATATCAAAAATATCTGGCTGAAAACTTCAATAATTTCCTTAAATACTGTTTCACTGTAAGTTTTAAGAGTTTAAAAAGTTGAAATGACGACTTTTGCAAGGAAACTTTGCCACAAAATAACCTCCAAAATCATTTATTTAGTTTTGCGTCTAAGCTAATATCAATGTTAAAGTCTGTTAATTAGGCTAAAACTGATTATAATCCCTAAAATACAGTTTTAGGATTATAAATAGTTTATTTTAAGAGATTTTTATTGTATTTCTTACTCTAAAATAGCAAATTTCAACTCATTGTTGAAATGATAAAAGATAAATATTCCCCAAAATTACTCTTAAATCGTTTTTAATAAGTTTATTTCAAGAATTCATTGAATTAAGGATTAGATTTTCACGAGTATTAAGAGACAATTCATAGATAAATGGGCGGAGCTTGCGAATGGGCGTGGTTTAAGCTGTAAACACTTGAAATAATCACAATAAAAAGTCAATAATATCCACTTTTTACACATGTTTCTCACAAAATACGAGATTTTTGGTGTGTTTTTCATTTCATTTCAACCCAAGCGAGAGAGATATCTCGCCTAGATTGACGAAATCTCACTTAAGGAAGAAAGGATGATTTTGCCGTCAAAAATACCAAAAAAACTCATTTTCCACAGTTTCTCGCCTGAAATGCCATCTCACGCCCCAGTTTTTACATTTCGAGAATACCAGCCCTGAAGTTTTGCAACTGTCTGTGATTCTCTATTCCATTCTTTATTAAATATTCCAATTATTCCTGGAATAAGTCTCCAATTTCATGCAGCTTTGACCCAATATTAGCAACCCTTTTTGGCAGCACAGTACACCTTTCTCGCGGCCAAACGGCGGCGACGGTGGTGTCCATAAATTCTTCAGCGGTGTGACAGTGAACCGTCGGTGAATGGGACACAACATTGACTGCCCATTGTATGCGCGATGATGTGTTTATTATCATACGGCGTGTGCGGACATCTCAATGAATTTCACCACATAACTTGATAACTTTTATCACCACTGCCGTGTGTGTGAAAGAGGGGAGAATTGTGGGCTGAAAGGGAGAAGAGATCTCAATCTTGACACGGTTTGCTCTTTTTTTTTCTCTTGTGGTGCACCTCTTGGCCATTGTGTGACTCTCTTCGTCTCAACAAGGGTGCTAAAATTCACGAATTGAAAATTAAAATGCGATTCTGCACGCAATTCTCCATGCCCCCATTGAGGTTCTCTTCAGCAACCATGTGGATGACCAAATACCATCCAAAGAGCACACAAAACTCCCGGCAATTAACACATTACACATTCCGGGGTGACAGAAGAGTCGTGGCGAAATGCAAGCCAAGATCATAATCGGGGTAATTAATGGACACTGTTTAACGAGACAGGAGGAACATTGGTGTGCTGTCGTGTCCATTTTCCACCCAGATTCGCACACCTGAAGCTCACATGCTTAAAATCACAACCACTTTCACCATCTTTCACGAGATATTCTGCCACAATTCCTCTGCAGAATCTTCAACACTTCCACACACTTCTTAACACCCCTTTAAAAATACATTTTCCATCGCTTTCTCACACTCAATTCTGGACTTATCACAAAGCTAATCCGGTGTTATCCATCTCAAGAAGTTTAAACTCTTCAAATGCTTCAGATTTCACAACGTAAAAAATGATTTTAACGTCCAGAATTTGTTCATGAACAATTTCTGTCGTGATTTTCATAGTTAATTCTTCAGAAAATGATTGAAAAAACATCTTGATAAAATTGTGAGGTTATGAATTCAGCTTGAAAAAGTACTTTAACGCTGAAAAAGATTAAATATGGCGAATAACACAATGTTTTCACTATAAAATGAGGTTAAATTTGCCACTTTAGAGCACAAATTGCAAAAATAACTAAACAAAGAGAATTTACTGAGACATTTTTGAGGTTATGTTTGACTTTCAGGCTGTTTTCTAACCTAATTTTAAGTTTTTTCGGACGTAAAAGCTTAATTTTGCCAAGAAAAGTGAAGAATTCTCAGTTTAAACACAAATTAGATGATTTTTAGTGTAATTTTGTCACATAACATTTAAAAAAAAAAGCAATAAAATTGATTTTAGGGTAAAATTCCTAAATTTGATTGAAATGGAAGCTTTTGCAGTGGAAATATTCTTGTACAGTGAAAAACGCTTAAAAATTCAATGCAAAGAGACATTTTTCTGCCATTTAAGTGACATTTTTGAGGTTATGTTTGACTTTTAGGCTTTTTCCCCAATCAATATATGAAGTTTTCTCGAACAGTTTTGTGGTACAAATCAGTCAAATGATTCCAGGACTTTTCTGCCATTTTCTTTTTTTATGCCACTGAGGCTGTGGTGAATTGCGGCGGCAGTCGCACATTGGAAGACTTATCTAGTAATAAATACTATTATTGTTATTATATCTGACTTGAGAGGTGGGTTTATGATGGGGCAAAAAAGCACACACTTCTTCTTCTTAGAGATGAGAGAATTACCCGCGGAATTTGTCGTAAATGCCCAACGTGAGAGGAATCTGTAATGAGTCGATTACTGTCACCCCAAAATTGGGAACTGCGCGGATCTCGCGAGATCAGGTACAATCAATTTGTCGACAGTGGATTGCATTCCATGCCGATTGAAGGACGGGTTTTGTGTGAAGCCCGCGCGCGGATTGCATTCCATTCTTCGCCAAAGAGCGACCTCCAAAAGGTGCCCCAAAAGTGTCCCTCCAAATGCAATTGACCGGTTGGGGGGGGGGGCAAAGGGGGGTTGCTGAAGGCATTTGAGGTATTTGCACGGATTCATACTTCTCTACTGTGGTGAGGAAGCAAATAAACACACTTGTGATGATTTTAACACAAAATAAACTTCATCGAGAGAATTATATAAGAAAAAAACTGCTTTTTCGGAGTCTAAACTCAAACTACATCACTTAAGTTATCGTGATTGAGTCTATACAGTATGTAAGGATGGTTAACCCATGAATTATGGATAATCTTTCACTTTAAACACACCAAAGTTGACTCTGTTACCAATAAATATCGGAATTTTAAGAGAAACAACAGCTTTTGCCTCTTATCTTCCTCATTTAAGGCAAAAACAGTAGTAATGTTACATATCTTATCATGATCTTAATCCTGGAGGCTCTTAATTGGGAAATTTTGAGCTTTTCTGTACTAAAATCCCATAATTGCAAACATAACAAGAGTTATGTCCAGAGATTTGTTATATTTTTCGTGACATTCTAGACACAAAATACATAATCGAGCAATCAAAAGTCAATTAAACATACTTGAGCTTCTAGTTCATCCATCATAGATCAACCAAAAGCCCGTTAAAGACACTTAAAAAGGTTCAAACTAAGTCCAGAGGCGGTTAGGCGCTTTATACAAATTAAATGATTTATATAAGTTTTTTCAGGCTATGATTGCTATTGTCACGAATTTAAACTGTCTTAATGGTAAAATATCTGTGAATTCACGCACGTACAAAATACTAAAGTTTAATTAAAATCTCCTAATTTTACAGCGAACTGATTTTGTGCTAATTTTAGTGAAAATTTAGGAACACTGAACGCCTTTATGTCATCAAAGTGTTGTCTCGTGCGTGACACGCGAAGTAAGACTCGTTTAGATCGTATGCGAAACTGAAAATCAACTGGACAATTATCCTGAAGACACCGCGAATACATTTAACACCACAAATAAGAACACAAAATATCACAATATTTGAAGAGTCAATTTATGCAATAGTTTCAGGTTTAGTGTGACGAAAAGGGATGAAGAATTAGGCGGAATGTCTTCAAACTTGCCATGATAATTACTCCATTAATATGAAAGAGAAGATTGGTGGAAAATTTCACATCTCTCAAGAGTTTCACGTGAAAATTCGCAGCACATTAAAGACATGCAAATTTCTTTCCACAAAAAAATCCCTTTTTTCTGTGAAAAATTCGATATTTCCTTCAATTTCTCGAACATTTTCCTTAAGATAAAAAACATTAAGAATTTAATGGTCTTTCAAATGGCGTTGAAATCATGACGATATCTCAATTTGTGGTCGAGATATTGCAAAATGCAGAGAAATGTGCGCAAAAAGACAACGAAAATGTTCTTAAGACGCTGCATAATTTGCTCTAAATCCATGGTTTAACCACAAAACTGACCCCGATAATCACATTAAATCATGAGTTTAGAATGTCTAGAAGACATTTTCATCATAAACACGTCTTCATTTGATTTTGCTAACTTGCTTTTTATATGTTTTTCTCTGTTGTTTAACACTTTTTCACCATTTCTTCACTTCTTACGCATCAATTGCGTCTCAAATCCTGTTCAAAGATTTTTTTTGTGATGTGTTGGAATAAGAGGTCAAGTTGATCGTTCAAGAACACTTATGTAGCCGTGAAAAATACAGAAGTTTGCTATTAAGACGTGTGATTTTTAGTCAATTTCACAGAAAATCTGTAATTTCTTATTGATGAATGGCAAGAAAATGGCTCAAAGTGTCTAAGAAATTCATAATATTGCACATTATGCCCATGCTGTGCTGGTAAACCCAACATTGTAGCTATTATTGCACTCAAAAATACTTCTTCGAACGCTTAACACTTCACTCACAGTGGCTCAACTTGTGTTAAATCACGATTAAACACACAATTTAATTCCTACCTGTTGGGGAGAGTGAGAGCGTGGGCGGTGGCGGTGGCGGAAGTGATCCGCCACCGGCTAAGGGGGCTCTCGGTGGTTCCATGGAGCTCCACGGAGCACTGGGCAGAGGCGCGAACTCACTCCCGATCGTCGATCCAATCAACATGATACACTTTATCACTTTCTTCCCTATTCTCTGGGTTCACCCTCTCTCGGCCAACAAGAACAAGAAAAAACCACCCTTAAAACTCAATCACACCCAAGCATTGTCCACCTTCTTGACCACGCACCACAAAGTTCCTCCACACACAGAGAGAGTGAGTGAGAGAGAGTTTTCGGCCAAAAAGACAGTCCGGAAGTTGAGGAAAAGGCGCACTCTCGAGAGCCAGCAATCGAGAAAAGAAACACCTGTGAGAGATGGTCAGATCGCGCGACTGTCGATCTTGTCGGCAAAGGTAGCACCGTTCGACTAAAAGGAAGGAAACAAGAAGCAACGAAGGTTCGAGCAAAATCAAGCACCCGTGAGCTTGAGCCGCCGCGCGTCAAATCGCGCCTCGGCACACACACACACACACGCCGGCCCGGGTCGGAGTGAAAGAGGAGAGCATCTCACCTGGCGTGAGATGGCACAGAGGTTGTGTGAGCGGGATGGAGTGATGGTGAATGGGCGCAACCACTGGGTTTACGTGGTCTTTAATATGAAGAGCACACACCTAATAACCGCCTCGTGCGCACACAGGTAAATAGCGCCATTCAATTGGCAGGGCGCTTCTCATACAGTGGCACTCTTCGCACACCTTCGCCGCGGCCCCCAATCTCCTATTCAATCAACCCACACACTTTGCATAATGGACACCCGAAAGAGTAGCCGCACAGCATCCATTTGGAGATTCATCTCAAACACCCGCGCAGGACACATTCCCTTGCGCCCCACCCCATCTTGGGCGCCTCTCAAGGGGGAAAATCACTCGCAATTTGACATTATTCAATCATTTTTCGCTGATTATCTGGGATTATTACGCAAATATTGATTTTTTTGTACGAAATCTGATTGTTTTTTTATTATTCCGTGAATTTTTCATGAAAATTTAATTATTTTTTGATTATTTTTTGATTATTTTCTGAATATTTGATTAAAAATCGATTATTTTATATAAATTTGAATTATTTTTTAGTTTTTTCTGAATATTTGATTTAAAATCGATTATTTTATATTAATTTGAATTATTTTTTGATTATTTTCTGAATATTTGATTAGAAAATGTTTAGTTTATACAAATTCTGATCATTTTTTAGTTTTTTTCTCAATATTTAATTAAAAATCGATTATTTTATATAAATTTGAATTATTTTTTGATTATTTTCTGAATATTTCATTAAATTTTGATTATATTTTGAATTTTTTTTATTATTTAATTCAGATTTGGATTGTTTTGTAACTTTTTTCTTGTGAAAAGAATAATTTTTTTTCTATTATTTAATTCATAATTTGATTATTTTGTAATTTTTCGTGGAAAAAATTCTTTTTTTGGTTTTTCTTATTCAGAATTCGATTTTTTTATCCAATTTTACTTGGAAAAATAATTATTTTTTGAATATTTTTTACAGAATTTGGTTATTTAGCTTCTTTGTAAATCTACTTGGGAAAATAATCACTGTTTTTTATTATTATTTTATTAAAAAATTATTTTGGCAAAACAAAAAAAAATATTTTTAAATTCAACTTGAGAAAATAATTATTTTTCTTGATTATTGTGTAATTTTATTTCGGAAAATAATCTTTTTTTTCATTATTTTCCCCAAATAATTGGATTCTTTGATTAGGAGAACATTAAGTTTCCTCAAAAATCGCTTCTTGTGAATTGCCCATCTTGAGCGCCTCTGCTGCCCAAGAGTTGCACCGCGATAACAGGGACAAGTTCACGCTGCAAGAGTGACTTATTGGTATTTCTTCGTGATATGCGAAGTTTCTGTGCAAAATGATAAATGACTGAGACAATGTTTGATATTTGTGAGTGTGTGTGACAGAAATCTGTCGAGGGGTGAAGAAAAACACCATCTCAACATGTTCTAGGATTAAATTCACCCAATGAATGTCTTTTGAATACATATTTCTCATGAGTGAAAATGACACAAATTATAGGAATAGAAAGAAAACAATTATAAATAGATGTTATTCTTAGCGCACAATAAATATCACAATAAATAATATAAAATTAGCGATGATTGCTCAAGTGAGGAATGAAAGAATCATTTCAGCTGGAATATTACAGAATATCTAAGAATGGATGCAAAAATAAGTGAAAATCCCTTTGGAATACGCAGAATGTGTGATGGAAAATTAAAGGCATTTACATTTTCGCTCTTAGAATACATAGAATATATGAGAATTGATTCAATTATTCACTCAGAAGAATGTGCTTTTGTGAGTGAATTAAATTCATATGCTTCACAAATATCCTTTTGCGTGGTTTGTAATGAATAATTGATTATTGTGAAGCGTTTAAATTCCCAAAATTAACCAATTATGGTGTAAATTATTGTATAAAAAACTGCCCAAAACAGAAAAAAAATATATGAAAAAAAAACCTACCACGACCTGGACACGAACTTATGAATGCAGGTGTGCGAAGAAAAAGGACACGAACATGCAATATTAGCAGCTTTTCAAAAGACTATTGTAGAAAATGACATTTTAGGCTTGAAAAAAAAAGAGTTTTTAGGAGAAATTTCAAATCCAAGAATGAACATTAAAAACGCTAAAAAGAATGTTAGGGAAAAAAAACTTTCTCTCATTCTGAGAGAAGAGCATTTTTGAGCGTCAGATGAAGTTTATTATAGAGATAATTCTTGAAGAGAACATTATATTTGTCGTGTTTGAAAGAGTTTTTAGGAGAAGATTGAGGAAAAAATGCCGATATAAAGTGGATAAAGTGAAGGAAAAGACCTTGAAAAAGAGTTGTGAAGAAAAAAAAAACGAAATTGCAGGAGAATCGAACCCGCGACTTCACAATCTCACGATCGGAAATTTGCGCTGGAACTTGTGCAAAAAAGTCTTTCTGTCTATCGATGATTTCGGCAACATAAGTTCAAATTACGAATGGATAGAATAAATTGGAATATAGATGGAAGACGAAAGAATGAAAACCCACTTTTCTCCAACATCAGCAACCCTCGACAATTAGCTATAAGATTTATTGAAATTATGGTGACTTAACGACATTTCTAACACGTTTTTGCTTTTGATGTTGGATAATTTGCACTGAAAACGTGTTTTTTTACTTATCAAAAATCCTTTGTTTATGGGAAAAATCATTAAATCTGTTATTGGTAAATCATTTAATACTTCTTCTTCTTGTTAATTCCACATTTTTTGGTGCGCGTTGAAAGTACTTCAAAAAATCCATTCTATTTCCTTTTCATGATTTCTTAAATTCATTCTCAACTTATCATTAACTAATCTTAATAGGTTTAAGTCCTTTAAATGGTTGGATTGTAGATTTTCACAACAGATTTTACTGTCTAAGAATTTGTTTAGTAAATGTTATTCATCTGAGAACCCTTTAAGATAATCAAAAAATGCTTCTTAGCGATTTTTGAGGTTATGAATTCGTTTAAGAAGTCTTTTTGGACTCTGTTTACCGTTTTAAAGTTTAAATTGCTAGATATCACCTTGGATATTTCTTTGTAATCTGTTTAAAAACAGTTGTTTTTTAATGTAAGATGGACAGAAACTTACAAAGTGGACATTCTTAAAGAAGGAAAGATTTTTTTGAGGTTCTTTTCGTGTTTTAAATCGTATAAAAGTCACAATTCTTACCAAAACACGTAGAAATGATTTATTCAGTGTGTCCAAAATTGATTATATTTATCTATATTTTTTTAATTTATATATTATAATTTTTTAACAAAAGAGCAACAAAAAGCAAATATTGCTGCACTTTAATTTCTTATAAATAATTGCTTAAGAAAATATTTTCGCGTTTTTCTTCGGTCTCTTCAAAGGACAATTATCGAATCTAGAGCTCAGGATTTCACGAAAAAATCTTCTGTAAAACATTCTCAACTTCTGAGAAAACAATTTGTACTCAAAAATTCTATAGACGAAAGAAATTTTCTCATCGTGATGTTCTTCTATGGTTATTTAGGCACCTAATTTGAAGAGACTTGTTTGAAGATCAAACTCTGAAAGCCATAACAAAAAACTAATATTTCTCCCTCTTTCTCTCTTTTTGAAAATGTCTCTCAGGAGCACCAAAAGCTAACCTTAAGCACAAACCATCATTTTGACTCACGCAACACAAGATTTGCATTTAAATTTCACGGTAACTTATTGAGCAATTATTCCCCAAATCAATGGCCTAAAAGTCTTGGTTGAAGATAAGAGTGTTTTCCCATTGGCATAGGCAATAATTTCCCACAATTCGTTTCTCACGAGCCTCCTTGGATGTGAGAGAGAGAGATTCTTTTGCCACGCCATTGTGTGTCTTATCGCCATGGCTCTTTTTCTTAATGGCTTGCGCTACAGAAGTCTTGGAAGAGCAGAACAACCGCATTTCTCAGGTGACACACAATCAACCCAGAGGCCATAATGACCGGTGCGGAATCGATTTTCAATACAGCCCAATTTACATTTCTCCCCACTGGCCGTGAGATATTGCTGGATAAGCCAAGGGGGAAATAATGTGGCCTGAATTTGTACACAACTTTTTAACACTTCCACAATTTGCCTGACAATTCAAGAAACTCGAAATCTGTTAAGTTTCTATCTGATATTTCTGTAAGAATCAACTTAAAACCGCTGTTTTTGGACATCTTTTCCGACCATAACCTCAAAATATAACCAAGAAATCGTCAAAAGCAACTGTTTGAAAGCTTTCTGGATCACAAAAACATCTCAAAATTGCTGATTTGTAGTCAAAATTGTCTAGAAAGTTGTGTAAATGAACATTTTCCAAGTGTCCAAATGACTAATTTTGAGGTCATGTTGAATCTTAAAACTATTTGGAGTGTTTCTTGCCATCAAAGGAGTTCAATTCAATGGTAAGATTACTTTATATTAATTTTCCATTCGATATTTCT